TATATGATTTAGTCTTTGTATGGAATAAGGAATGAAATTCTGTGTTTATTTTTTACAGATACAGATGGACTAATAAGTCAGTCGTTACTAACGGGCAATTTTGAGGCAGCCGTTGAAGTATGTTTGCAGGCGGATAGACTTGCTGATGCTATAGTGCTTTCTATTGCGGGTGGAACCCATCTTCTGGCTAGGACACAGAAAAAATACTTTCAAAAAGTGAAAACTCCAACAACTCGGGTAAGGATGGACAAGGTCTTGCTTTTCAAAGTTAATTTGTATTTACCAGTTTTTGCATGGATGATGTCGATATGCAATCTGAGAAGTTTTTCGAAGGTTATTTGCTAAAACATTGAAGCTAACAAACATTATATCTTGATATGCCAATGCTTGCAACACAATAGGTGATTTTTCGTTCACTATGAGATCTTGTGTTTGATTACATGAAAGACTTGGATCAAACTGCTGCCACAAAATCAAATGATTTGATTCTGACCTTTAAGTTCTATTTTTCAAAAAGGAATATTTTTTTGAAATATCCATGTTTGTTGAATCCCATGTTTTGACGCCACGCTGTCGCTATGACCTTTGTTTATCCTGTTTTTACGTTCAATTTTATGCATAACACAGAATCTTACAGTGAATAGAAAGCGATCTGTTCATGAGCTGATTATGGCACTGACAAAAGACATGAAACAAATTTGCAACAGAGTTAAGATTCTAGGTGGTTGCTGATGTGATTTATTCTTCAGTAATTAAGCAATTCTGTTAACGTAAAGCAGAAAATTAAAATGACCTGCAATTAAATTTTCTAATTATCCGTTATGTCTGTAATAATTTTCAGCTAATATCTGCTATAGTAACAAAAGACTGGTCTGATATCGTCAGTGGGTGTGATTTAGATAACTGGACGGAAGCACTGGCTGCGTTGATGACCTATTCTAAAGCAGAGGAGTTCTCAACACTCTGTGGTATGTATCCTAGTTCATTTATTTTGTAAGGTTTTGAGTAAGGTTGAGGTGGGTCAGGTGTTGTGACTTGGCTTTACAGAAAGAATAGTTGTCACTCTTATTTAGGCTTCAGGAAAGAGTGGAAGGCCTTAATTTGGTTCTAAAATAGGTGTCACAAAATGTTGAAAAATTATTGTCAATCAAAAAAACGTTTCATATGATAACATAAAAAAAAAACCTTAGTATATTTAATGTAATATGCATTTATTTTTTTAATTTTGTTGGTAATGAAAAGTATATATTCTAAAAGACCAATGCATTGCTTAGTAGTAAATGATCACAGGTTGGTAGCGCAATTTGATACGATTAATTCTGGATCCTAAACATGTCATTCTGTGTAGTGTATTGTACTTCTATGGTGCACTGTATTACTCCCATGATGCATCTCACTTGTGTTTTTAACACAGACTGGTAACATTAGACAAGAGAATGATAACTTTAAACATGTTCACATTACATAGATTCTATATCGTACCTGATTTGCACAACAGCTGTTAATCAATTACATCACTAAATATTTTATATTTTTATGTTATTTTAGATATTCTAGGAGAAAGGTTAGAAAGTGAAAGAGGTGGTGAAATGAGTGTCAACGCTTGCCTCTGTTATATATCCTCTGGTAATATTGATAAATTAGTCTCATGTTGGTCTAAGATAGCCAAGTCAAGTTCACCATTAGCATTGCAGGTAGGTTGATTATAATTGTTAGGGTCGTATTTTGTAATTTTCTTAATGTGGAATTGAAAGGTAACTAGCCTTTGAATTTTGTCTCTTCAGGATTTGATTGAAAAAGTAATGATACTTCGTAGAGCTGTTGAATCCCGGAAAGGTCGTAGTGAAATCTCTGGAAAAGCTTTTGCTAATAAACTGAGTCACTATGCTAAGCTGTTAGCAGCCCAAGGTAATCTGATGACTGCCATGCAGTATTTGGGGCAGTCCCAGGAGGTAAGATACAACAAACAACTAAACTTCATAATTTCTTATCTTGGAAGTAACAAAGTAAAAATGAAAAAAAAACATATCACACTCCTGCAATTTTGTCATTGACTTGTTGATGTAATGAACTCAGGGCAACATTAACTCATTTCTCATTTCCTTTGGTGTTCAGTTAAATTTTATAGATATGATTCTGTGTTTTCAGTGCAGTTTGTGATCATCACATAGGATTACTTTAAAATTGCTTTTTTTTTTATTTTACTTGTCTGATTTTGGAAAAGTTATTTGTGCTAACTAAGGTTATATGAAATGAATACATTTTTTATGTGGAAGTAATGTTGTTATTATCTGATACAATGTACCTAGAACAAAGGCGGTCGTAATGTTTCCGTACAGGCAACACCTCCGTTCTGTGATCCAGTATAGCTGCATCAGTTACGAGATTGAAAACCTTTCTATTTTTGGCAATTTACAACTATGATTACCATAGTCTGATTGTATGCTAATTTGCAGCTAAGCATTGCTTTTCTTTGAAAACGATTAGATTCAACGACAGAGTAGTAAAAGTTGGAGTTCCATGTAAATAATTTCTGTATGTAACAGTGACATTAATAATCTATCCCTTGTTATGTTTATAGGCTGGCTTTGTGTCTTTATTTTCAGGCTGTCTTAACACTTTAGCAGACAGCCAGTTAGAACACTGAATATGAATAGACACAGCTCAATGATTCTTCCCACAGCACTTCGAGATGGCCTTTAAAAGAATTAACCTTTTCACCACCAGTTACCTCTTTTCATCACTAATTCACAGAATAGTCCTGTTCATAGTCGGCACTTTCCTGCAGAAGATTGGGACAAAATTAGCCAAATTGAAGTAAAAATGAAAATTGATTTAAATTTTGTTTCTTGGCTCAAAAATTTGGGTTCATTTCCAGAAAAATTGGAGATTATTAGAAAAAAGTGCAGACAATTTTGTGTGAGAAAGTCTGGTGGTGGAAAGGTTAAGATAGGTCACAATTAGTATATCACATCAGAGTATCAGTGAATTGGTACACACAATGCTTAATATTGATCTTACTGTTGTTTTTCTCTGTATTTGATGTTTGTAATTTCTGCTTTTGTTTGATGTAATTTTTAGTAGTCAGTGATATTAGCCATTGGCTAAGTATTTCAAACTGACTTTAAATAAACGAATTAAATTGAACGCTGTTTATAATTAATTATCCGATTTTATTACAGCAAAGTATTCTGGAACTACATGACAGATTATTCCAAGCTCAGGGTGAGGCTGTATCTCATTTAAATGCCCCTCCCTTCCCATTTAAGTCGGTGAATATCAAGGACAAACCTGATCCAGAACCAGTACCCCAGCAGCAGCAGCAGCAGCAGCAGCAGCAGCAGCAGCAGCAGCAACAACAACAACAACAACAACAACAACAGCAGCAGCAACCACAACAACAGGTATGTGAAATTTCTATTCAGGATGACAAACTCTTGTTAAAGCTCTGTCGATATCTTCAACGTTTGTCCCATGCAAAATACATTCTCTGTTCACACTGAATTTGAACACATTCTGCCCGGTAACCATGACTTTTTAATTCTTATGAGATCATTATCTAGTGATATTCGTCATCATGAAATCAAGTGACTATGAAATCATGTACAATCACGATACATACTAAAATATACAAAAAGACGTCCTTAATGAAAGGTTTATTGGTTTCACACCTCTGATTTTAAAATTGAAGGGAAATGCTGTGATTGGTTTGTGATGTTGTCACTCATAAATATACATTTCAACTTCATTCAATTTAATGTAGTGAGTTTGATTGCGTTTGCACAGATAAGAGTGTTCCTGTAACTATCTGTATAAAAATGTTTTTAAGAACATGTGTTTAAGAATGAAGTCAGGCGTGTAAAAGACTTCTAAGGGCTATATAATAATGCTCGTAATCGATTCAATCGAGAACGAACAAATACAGTAAAAATTCACAGTTGTATCCTATCTAGGTTTATGCTATTCGCCTTGCATTTATTTTGTTGAGAACACTGCCCAACTCAGTGAATATTATTTCTATTTGAGCGGTCTCTCAGTACATTATTCTATATTTTTACTTGACAGGAAGTTGGTGTGAATTCGTTTCAAACCAGAACGGTTACAAGTACTCAATACTATTCATCTGGGCAAGTACAACAAGAAAATCAGCAACAACAACACTTTGCTTATCAAGACCAGATAGCTAATCAATCAGAAGGTGCTTACGGATCAACACCAGCAGCATCTGCCGACTCAACGAATATTTATTCCTGGAAAGGTAACCAGGGGAAGTATGCTAGCTATGCGAAATCTAGCAGCGTTCAGGGATATAACTATTCACAGTCGGGTTATTCTTCATATACGCAAAATCCTGAACAGCCGCACGGAATGTATGGGACAGCCGCACATAATAATGGTAGTTATAGTACGAATACAACACCTTCTACTGCTCCCCCATACCTACTATCGACGGGACCACAGGCACCTCAACCACCACAACCACCTGTACCACAACCACAACCTGGTATGTCTAATCAGCCACGTTCAATGCAACAGACAATGACGACGGGTTCTTCTTCACAACAGGATCCTCCACCCGGATGGAACGATACCCCAATACTGAGGCCTAAAAAGGTAATTTTTCATGTTCAATGCAAAGTGGTGAGGATGAAAACCTATTTATGTTGTTGACACCTGTTGAACTTGTCTGTATGCTAAATCTGACATAATTTCACAAACTAATTCTGAAATTTCTGTAATACTATTTCAGAGCCAATCAAAGCAGTCGTATGTCGCACCACAACCGATTACTGCCCCAATATTCGGTGTGCCACAAGAAGAAGTAGGCCCTGCCCCTCCCGGTGCAACCCAAGATGCTCCCGGAGCCCCCACAGCATACGTACAACCTCCTCAGGTATATAACCAAAATGCTTATCAGATTCCAGCACAACAACCAATAACAAATCAACAAATACCGACTGCTACTAACCAAGAACAGGTAACGCGAACGAAAACTGTTGACTCAGACAAAAGCACGGTTGTAAAAAGTTTTCAAGCTTTGTAAGTTAGCGTACTCTGGCAGATGACGAAACAGTTTATCTCTTGCAGTATATTAGCTACAATGACTCACTTGTTATCATTGATGGTATATACTTGTACTGAGGTGCGACGTTGAAATCTCTGTTCGACTGAAAACTACTTGTACCCTGACTGTACAACATTTCTATTTGACCAATAATTTCAGGATACAAGTGAATTTTATGTGTACTGTTTGTTTCTGGTAAAATTCTTGTTTTTTTCTTTCTATCTTTTCAAATCCTGACTAACCTTTTTGCTTGCTGTGCTTTTGTGAAAGTTGTATCTTTGTTTAATTACTAACATTTCTGTTTTTGCTTTATGTGTAGATGCAACTACTAATCAGTGGCTGTGCTAAGCAGCATGTCGCCCTCTAGTATTCAAAACGCAGATATGTAAAATTGCATTTCCCAAACAGAAAGTGGAACTGATATTCACACAATATGGTTTCAGGAAATGTTTACTGCTCGGCTTGTTAAAGTATGCACATCTGGCTTAGGAGTGCATACAGAATAAATTAAAACCACAACAGAATTACTTTTAGTATTCCATGTACTGTAAAATACTTTATTTTAGCTGGAATTTTGCTGAAAAGACTTTTTGGGTGTTTTGTATGGAATTTATTTTGCACTGATTGTTGACCATTTGAATGTAAAATATAGGAAAAAATGGATATTTGTTTGATTTTATTTTTAATGAATCATTCCTTCAGCGAAAATATGAAATATAAAGTATTTTACGGAATTTGCTAATGTACATTGATGGTTATATTGTTTATTTGTGTTTAAGGTGAGCATGGTGATGTGGTAATGCATCTTTTCTGATTTCATTTACTAAACCATTAAAGCTCAGTTATTCTGCACTACAGTCAAACCTGTGTTAACGACCACCTGTGCAGAGCGGCCACCTGCTCATAGCGACCACCTTAGTACAGTCCCTTCGCAATTTACACGTTAAAGACACTGGATATAGTGAACACCTGTCCAACGCGACCAGCGACCACCCTATTGTAGACCTATTCACACTTTAACCTTTGTATAATGACCACCAACATTTCCATCAGACTGTCTCAGCAAAAAGACAATAGCTACTTGCGAATCGCTAACAGGAAAGTGGCCATATGTTACGTTCAGATTACCGAGTACGCAATCTTTAGGGCTAAAAGACCATCGCAACTTGGTTTGTGAAGTTGCGAAAAAGTAAAAAAAAAAGTTGAATATCATCTGAATGTAACGTCTAGAGACTGGAAAGATTTTAAAAACAAATTAAAACAGTTTCATTCAAAGTTTGCAATGAAAAACTAGCTTGTTTCCGATCGGTACTACCCCCGGTATACTATCGATCCCCAGCCGGCCAGCGGCACTTCTGTGGACTGTCTCGCACATGAAGAGCAAATTCCCCCAGTCTCGAAAACAAAAAAAATGAACCAGTTTTATTAAATGAGAGATGTTTTATTTACCTTGTCGACATGAAATATACAAACAAAATAATAAAACATTCGTTTATCTCGTTTTCATCGCGGGATTGCAAAATCCAACCTATTTTGGCCGCCATGTTGTTTGTTGTTGATCGTTATAAATTATGCCAATGAAGCTAGCGCATGGGCAAAGGTATAGTTACTGAGGGGTCATCTCGGGGTTGTTCTCAACAAAAGATGTTTTCTATTTTGATCCTCTTTTTTTTTTTTTTATAAACGGTAGTATCAATATTTCGCAATCTAGAAAATTCGTTTGGGCAGTTTTGACACGTCGATGCTTGCAACAAATAACTGTAAAATTGCGTGTACGATCACCGTGTTTCATTTCCGGTTCTTTTGACTTTCTGATTCAACACCGAGAGTTGGAGCAATCGTTATGAGTTTGGTCAATTTTGTTTTTTTCAATCACGACAACTTTGCCTGTGCATTTTGTCACAGTGTACAATCGACAATACTAACGATGGGACTGATTACCGCCTGTGATGGAATATGTGTAAGAGACTGGGGAATAAGACAATCTGATTAAAATCTGATGTAGTGTACGGGCTTTAATTATTTTGGCTATAAACTTATTTTAATTTTATTTTTTATTACTTTTGTTATTAATGCCCTTTTATTTTATTTTATTTTATTATTTTACTTTGATTTTGATTTTGTGATTTTTTTAATTCCGCCCTACCTACATCTGAGCCGATGCCTATGTAACGAGATTTCAACGAGACCCACTATCGACGATTTTAGTCAACGAATCACAGACCTCCTTCTATAGCGCACATGATGACGTCACCGGGCGGAGTCGGGTGGCAAACACTCAAATAAAATGGCGGATTATACCGACGTTAGCGACCGAGAATAACACGGCTTTACGGTAAGTTTATCATTGTCAAATGCAACGAAAGTCATTTTTATGTTAATATTGTGGCTCGA